CTGTTGGCCTGATAATCATGGGCACTCTTGGGCATATTTACCAATTATAAAGGTAGACTAAGGCCATCTAAACAAGAAAACCTTACTAGAGAATATTGGGAGATGCAGCAAGAGAGTGCATTTGCAAATAACAGTAGAATATCTTGCTTTGGCACTCTTTGTTGGCAGTGTTCCTCAAGTGACACAGCACCTTCCTTGTGTGCCAAACTCAGTCATGCTTTGTACGGGCATGGACCAGCAATTCAAGATCCTCTCTGCAGCTCTACCTCTACTTTTAAAGAAACAGCTTTTCACATGTGATAGGAAAGTGCTATTGCTTAATCCAGATGTGAGCAACCTTAGTGAATACATCAAATAGACAAAACTTCATTGTAGACCCATCATTCACTCTGCTGATCTCTGTATTGATGTTAACAGACTGTGCCATCTTCTAAGGCAAAGATCTTTCCACTCTGCTTTCATAAAATATGCATGGGAAAACTTGGAATGAGAAAAAATGCATAATTACTTACAAAACTAAGTCAGTGAAAATTAAGAGTTAGTAAAAGTTAGTAACTTTTGGCCATTTAATCTTGTCTGACCTTGTTTGCTAGATAGTAAAATGTTCTTTTAGCACTTTTTTTTTTTTTTGCTCCATCTCTATGACTCATTTGTGATCATGTCACAAAATATGTCTCACCAGATTGACCCGTTTAAGTTTGTTACCATAAAAATAAATAAATAAATAAATAAAATCTTTCATTTATTCTCTTAAGTTTTCTCAGACTTCTCTAGCTTTCAAATTCCCACCTTGACTTGTGAATACTAGCTCTATATACAACGTCTCTTTAGTAGACTTAGTACCCACTACAAACCTAACCTTAGCCCCCAAGCCCAGTAACATAGCCTATTTTCTCCGTGATTCAGAAGATCTACAATGGGAGCTAACATAATATTGATCTCAGAGAAAGAAACCTTAAAAGGAAAAACTTCAAGCACTGAAGTACAGAGTTTTATGACAAATATACTTAATATCCTCCATTGCTATTAAATATGAAGTCAGACTTCTGATGTACCCTGACGATGCACCAAAAATTTCATCCATCTGCAAGTAAGCCCTGTAGAGGCTTCCAAGTTTGGTCCTATTCTAGCTTAACATATGCTTCTGTAGACAGGGTGGCTTGAGAATCTGTACCTTACCAGAAAGTTTTCTGAGAAAGAGCACGGGCGTGTGAGCATTCCAAGATGCATAGATCGATAGCATTTCACAGAGCCCTGTGTGAAAATGGTACCATAAAAACACATATTTCAGCCATAGGGGAATACTAAGTGGGATATTCTTTTTTTAATAGACAAAAGGGTGGTCATTTAACTTCCACTCTGTTTTTCACATCTGGTATTTCTTCAGACATTAATGTGCTGGTGTGTGAGGTAATAGATAAGACTCTAGTGGGATTTAAGTATGTTTACTTAATGGTACCATTATCAAAATATATATTTATTTCCTCTAGTTGTTGTTGTTGTTGTTTTTGTTTGTTTGTTTGTTTGTTTTAATATCATTTATATATGTTATTTTGGGACAGATGACTTGTTAAAGATGAAAGAAGAATTGTGCTGTCATGCTAAACTATGCCACCTAACTGAGAAGTGTTTCTGATCACTATACATTATTACTTTAGCCTGTTTTAATCCCAACAAAACATACCAGAACATCTTCCATGTGGACAGCTCAGGCGGAGACATTAGAAAAATAACACCAGTAATAACAGAAGAATTTAGCCTACAGTGCAAAACACAGGCTGAGCTCGGAACATGCTGAAACCTATAACATAATATGTAAATGTCAGCACATAGTTGGACTGGAAATGATTATAAAAGTAATACACAGTGGAATAATTGCAGTGTAAAGCCTTGAGGCAATCCTTCCTATTTCAAGCATTCAGGAGGAAAATGACTGCTGGATTTTCATCTTACCTGCCTGAAATCAAAATTGTTTAGGCAGCGATATAATTACTTCAGTCTTTTTTTTTTTTTTTTTTTTAATGGAGACATGCAACTGATAAAAACATGAACTTTCCTTTTTTAAATTCAATGACAGCCTGTGCAAAGAAGGCTCCGAAATCAAAGCCCTTGTACAGATAAAATCTGTAGCATTTTCCACTTACACAGACCTTCAGATCAGTGATTCCAGAACAGCTTACAAGTACTAAAGAATTTTCTGGTTTAGGGCTAAGGGCATTAAGTGCCAGATCACATGCTGTTGACCCTTGGTTTGCAGCTGGCCAAAACCCCATGGGATCTGGCTCCCATACCCAGCCCCATTGCTATCTGTAGGTCTGTAACACTGTCCACAGCCATTTGCAGAGGTCTTGCTCCAGGCAAGGATGCTCATGTTACAGTGTCCTGTAACACAGAAGGTCCCTGTCAGGGTTGTAAGAGTATCTTGTCCTTGCTCCTTAGCTGCTGTTTTTGCCTAGAAAACCATCCTCACCCCCTCTTAATACAAACATGAAGATGTTGAATGTAAGTGGTAGCCTCCCTGGCAAAACATTGCTCTTAACAGCCTTACTGAAATCCTGTAAAAGCTGGAGAGAGATGTCACATCAAGACTCACTCACCACTGACTCCCTGTTAGAGATGGGGTACTCTGGGGGTACAGAGACAAGCTGGAGTGCTTCTCTGTGCTCTTGTTCTTGATAATTCTTGCCACAAGAATTATCATTTTTCTCTTCCACGTTCTTGGCAGCACAGATGGGAGGCTGCTGGGGTATGCAATGGGCACAGGCTCTGGCAGTACCATGGGATGCTGCAGGAGTTGGATATATGAAGCAGAACTGTGCTGTGGTGCAGGCTGGGGAAATATCTATGTGAAATGCAACATGTTTGTATTTGTCATAACCATTAGGCAGTTACTGTGTACCCAGCAATGGGTTTGTTAGACTGAAAGAGTGAAAACAGTCTGTGAAAATCCTTCTAACCTTCATACTTCATACTGACTAACAAAATGAACCCCCTTCTAACTTACAAATAAGGATATTACAATTAATCCATTCAGAAAGTTTTTTATTTTTATTTTTATTTTTTTTTCCCAGTGAGTTTTTTGAATAATATTGAGTTTCCTTGGAGTCAATATAACTTAGTAACATTATAAGGTGTGAGAAAACCTAACCATACCTTAACTGTAGTTGGGGAAAAGAGTTTTCAAAACAAAATCATGGGTTTCAAGAGGAAAATTTTACAGTTCATGCTCTGTTTGGTTGGAAATCCTATGTCCTAATCTGTTTTAAATAGCATTTTTTTATGTTTGTAATGGTTAATTAATGCACTTTTCTCTATTCATGATAAAGTTGTATAGACAATGGTAGTTTTGTTTGTTTGTTTGTTTGTTTTTCAAATTCTTTTCTGAGTCTGCAGTAACTACCGCCTTGTTGCCGCAATGGAAACCACTGCATCAAACATATCCCTTACAGAGGTGGTGCCATCATCAACCATATTCCTTTATTCAGTCTCTGACCCTTCTTGGACTCACTTCTAAACTTAAGTTGTTGTGTTTTAACCCAGCAAGCAGCTAAGAACCATTGCTCACTCCCTGCCCAAAACCCCCAGTAGGATGGGGGAGAAAATTGGGAAAAACACAGTAAAAACTCATAGGTTGAGATAAAGGCAGATTAATAGGACAGAACAGGAATGGAAAATAATAATAATCATAATGATACAAGAATATACAAAACAAGTGATGCAGTGCAATTTTTCACCACCTGATGACCAATGCCCAACCAGTCCCCATGCAGTGGCAGTCTTCTCCTCTCCCTCATCCCAGACAATTCTCCCCAAATTTTATTGCTGAGCATAAAATATGGGACATCCCTCTGGTCAGCTGTACTGGCTGTGTCCCCTCCCAGCTCCTGGTGCACCCCCAGCCCCTCACTGGCAGGGCAGTGTGAGGAGCAGGAACAGCCTTGGCTCTGTGTAAGCACTGCTCTGCAACAGCTGAAACTATCCCTGTGTTATCGGCATTATATTTTTCCTAAATCTAAACCACAGTGCCAATCCAGCTGCTAGAAAGAAAATTAACTCTATCCCAGCCAAAACCAGGACACAAGTCAACATCAATGTGAGACAATTCCAGGCAAATACCCCATGTGAGCAGGGTAGCCCAAGGTAACATGCAACAGGCCCTTTGCTTTCTGCATGTGGGACAAGGGGCAGTGCCAGGCCGCAGTCTTCAGCATGGATTTGACTGACTTCCATGTTCAAGTGAAAGCCTGAGGGAAATTATACTCACAGGATATAAGAATAAAACTAAAGGAAAATGTTGTAAGGAATATTGTTGTTACTTTTTCAAATTTCATTGTAAGATATATTAACTCTTTTCTTGACTATCCATTTCAGCAAAAAGCAGATACTTTCCTTGACCTACTGTGGACAAAGATATCAATGATCGTTATGGCTATATCACACCTCTTTCTCTCAGCTACACACAGGACTGTGTTTTTTAATGGAATTAAGCTTAGATTTTCTGTCTGAATACCTGGGGCAAGGGTGCTTTCAGAAATTACAAGGGGACAAAGTAACTTTTCTTAGACTTGCAGAATGCTAAAGGTAAATATAGCCTAGTGAACTGTCTGGTGGTGAATGATGGATGGATGGATGGTTAGACAAATAGAGAGATAGGAAATAATGGGTCAATTCCAGAAATTATTTGCTTAATTATAATCATATTAATATAAATAATTATCTCTCATAAGTTAATGTTTTTAATTTTCTGAGGTAGACAGAAAAAAAAAATATGTATATGTATATATGTGTGTGTGTGTGTATATATTTAAAAAACAGAGTTCCAGCAGATATGGATAAACTATTTTGGTCTGACAAGGTTTTACTAATTCTACACCTCTCATGGAAATCTGTCACTCAAGACGTCACGTGCCATATATCTAAAGCTATTGAAATGATTTCAAGATAAGTTAAAAGGTGGATTAAATACAATTTGCAATTTAAAGAGCCGTGTTATTCTGATCCATGTTGAAATACAAATGTATTTACTAGCTTAAGAATCCACTAGCATTTATCATGGAAGAGAAATTGCATTCTCCATTACCAGAGGTTCCAGGTCCCATAGCCGGTATAAATCAGAAAAGACTCAGAGATATCAAGCATTTTTTTCTTAATTTATACAAATTAAAAATTTAATCCACAGGCTTTTATGTTAATAGGCTGTATGGTTTTATCTGTATTTTCCAGAACTGTTTGTTTCTTTTCCTTAATAGAGACAATTGGAGGAGGAACAGGAAAAATCCTGAAAACAGGAAAAAAGGACGTCGAAGACATTCCAATCAGTTCATAAGTTCAATGTGAAGTTAAAAACACAGTTTTGCCTTTGAAACACAATAGCGCTAGCTCAGTCTTGAAATGCACGGGTGACACAGCAGCTGTATAAAAATGTGAGGGTACAGTGATTGCATTTCTGAGTGATCTGTTTGCTGCCACACCTTGTGCTCTTCTGCTGGCTGCTCCTGCAGAGATCAAGGACATCCGCTTGGGTAGGAGTGTTACCGACATCCAAGCACAGCTGAGCAGGCCTCCTTTCTCAGCACGCCCATGGGCAGAAGGAGGTTTCTTCCACTGGCAGAAGCGTAAGTCACAAACCCAGCCAAGATGGATGTTTTCATGCCAGAGAGTCAGGCTTTTAGTCCAGAGAGAAATGGCAGGAAAGGGGTCATTAACATTCCTCTTGCCAAATGGAAGAGGGAACAGAAAAGGGAAGAAGGGAAGGGGGAAGGGAAGGGGGAAGGGAAGGGGAAGGGAAGGGGGAAGGGAAGGGGGAAGGGAAGGGAAGGGGGAAGGGAAGGGAAAAGGAATTATTGTTCAGGAACTCTTAATTAAAACAGGAAAAGCAAAGACAATTAGGTCAGAAACTAGAGGCAAGCTACCAAAGGGAGTGAAAGGCAGAGGACTATAAAGAAAAGCAATCATTTTTATAGGGAAGTGGAAGATAAAACAATCAGATTATCAACAGTTTTTAGGATCATTTCTGCTGTCCAGAGTGTGCTTACTCTGGCAGTTGAGCCCTCCATATAAAACAGCATAGTTCCTTTCTGATCGTAAGCTGTTTAAAATTAGTTGTCATAAGGAATGTGACTACACATGTTGATGATGTATGGTGGAAAGTCAAAGTAATGGTTGTTCCATAGGATATAAATTATTAGAGCCACATTAATATGAAATTCCTGTGTGGTTATACATCACATGCATGCGATTACCAAATGAACAAATCAGATATTCATCATACATCAAACCGCGGGATAATAACTTTCTTCAAAAAAATTGCAAAAATGTAGTATCCAGTTGCTCAGAAAGAGAATTAAATAGGGATATCTGTTTCAGAACATACATCATATACACTCTAAAAAGAGAAGGAGAAAATCAGCTTAAGAAAAAAAAATAATAATAATTATGTAACCCCAGGGAACCTCATCCACAAAAGATATTTTTGGAGAGATGGCTGGTGCTCTAGCTGTAAATAGTAGAAATTTTATGTATGTACTACTGATACAGGGAAGAAAATGACAATATATCTGTTACAGATAATATGGATATTTGAAATGAATTTACGTACACAGTTATGAAACTCTTATTTTGCTGATAACAATGGCAGTTTCACTTTTCTTATCTTTTTCAAAGTGGTCCAGTGCTCTGGTAAAGGGCTATCAGATATCCCAGAAGGAATCTTCTCTAGTGCCAGATGTTTACTGCTTAAGAATAACAGTACAATTTTCATCCAGGTGGGTCTCCCAGGTGAATATATGTCACCAGAAGGTATGGTCCTGAAGAAAAATAAGCTCAGTGATACACCTATAAAGTACACATTTGAAGGCTCACAAAGTCTCATGCTTGGATGACAATAATCTTAGGACATGTGCCCACTGTCTTCCTGGAGCTGGAGATAATCATAGAATCATTAAAGTTGGAAAAGACCTTCAAGATCACCCAGTCCGACCATAAGCAGCAACAGTGGAGCAGACTTGGACTCAGTGTAGGAACCTGTGGTATTGAACATCCCTAGTAACCAGTAAAGCAACTGATCCTTCCCCAAAGGGCTGTTTCTCTTTCTAATATCTTTGCACATAATGAAGGTGAACATCAATCAGCTGAGGATCATTCCCATAATACTGCTCCTCCCCCTTAAGAAATAATATTTAACAGCCAGCAAAATGTCAGCATTTCCTACTGATGTTTTCTGTGAGTGGTCAGAGCTAGAATAGCCTGATCTGTCACAACCAAATTAGTGAGAAGGACACTAAGAAAGCAGCTTTTAGTAACATGATTGAACTGGAAAGCCTAGGCTTGACAGAGAATTTGCTCACTGGAGTACTCTAGCATTTGCCCCCTCTCTGAAAGAACTCAGGTTCAACAAAAGCAGGATGTTTTTAATGAGGTAAGAGGCATTTCTGAAACTGGGAAATATCACTCAGACTGATTGATCTCTAAAATAATAAAATACTTCATATAGTACACAGAACATATGAGGGCCTGCAGAGCTGCTTTCCCTTAGATGTAAGGCATAACAAATTATAATAAATTCCTCAACTTTCTATCACATTTTTTCTTCACATCTTCTTTCACATCTTTTCTTGTTCAGTACAAATATACAGTCTGTACCAAGGGACTATTTCTGTGGCAGTCATAATGGTGAGAGCCATCTTCTTGTATGGTTAGTGAACAACTAGATGAACCTCGATAACAATGTGTATGCACTCAGATGCCTGAGAGACAAAGTCCAATTTTATTAAAAATATGTTAAAAAGGAGAGAGAGCATAGAGAGAAACCAGGGAGTGGAATTTCATGTAAGTGGAAAGAGTGGATAGATATTAGGTTTTGACCTCTGCCAGAACAATGCAAGAACAGTATAAATACATGAAGTTAATCACAGTCACAAGAGTAAGAGAACACCAGATATATTTTAAATTATTTAGTTGTAGTACTTTTTAAAAATCTCTATATCCAGAGTCTCTGTGAGGTACCTAAAGCTAGTTTCACGATCTTTTAATTGCTCAGTGAAATAAGACCTCCATCATGATTACAATCCATGTTATGCAATTGACATTTCACATATTTGCAGTCAAAACATCTCCTGTTTTCTTTCTTTAAAAAAAAAAATAAATTGCTAAGCATACACAAAAGGGAAGTCCCAGCATACTCAGACTTAACGTCACTGATAAGCTCCATGCTGTTGCATGTTTTTGCAAAGCTTCATGAGATTATTTTTACTGTTGTCTACTTTCTACATAATATTTCAGCTTTTCCACTAATATATATATATATTAGTGGTAAATAATATAATAAATATATACTAAATATATATTAAATAATATATATTAGTGGAAAATAATATATATTCACATATATACGAATAGTAGAGAAATGTTATAGTAGGAATTATTCTAGACCTGTTCTGAGTGCATTTAATATTTACAAAATATATATGTATATATTTTTAGGTCATAGTTTCATATTCACACACAATTATTTCAAAATATTTGAGTTCTCTCTTACACTCTAGCCATTTGGGGTGCTGGTATCAATCCAGACTCCAGCTGCAGAGAACAGGACACCAAACAGGGCAGGAGCACCAAACATGGCACCTAAATGTAGAACATAATTGACTTTAGCTCTTTCTGCAGCCAACAGAAATAAGTTAGTACTTAAAACCTGATTCAACTTCTATAAGACCCTGGAGTTAGCGGAAGTGAACATGGGCTTAGGTATCTGCAAAACTGCATTTGAGTAAAACAATCCCTTATGTGTATATATATATACATACATATTAATTTAATCCGCGTCAGTGAAGTAGTGGATATAAAATATAAAGCCTTTTCTTTTTTTTTTTTTTTTCCCCCCACATACTAATTCTTCCCAATGGCTGTTTGCGCAAACTAGGTTCCCAGTGCACCCCTAACACAGAGACAGGTACAGAAAAGAGTTGTAAAGAGATTTCTAACCCACATGTCCAATACTTCTCAGCCTCAGAGAGGTTTCCTGTGCTAGGGCTGTCCTCCCCAAGGGTAAGGCACGTGTGCTCCTGCGTGTCTGCTCCTTCACCTCTAGTGCCACCTAGCTTGTCCAGCTTCCAGCTGAAGTGCCTTTAGTTCTCATGATGCAGAGGCCGTATTTCTTCCATTTTGTAGGGGGAAAAAAAATAAAAATATATATATATAGGGAGAGAGAGAGAGAGAGAGAACTTTTCCAACGTCTGGATGCTCAGAAATGGTCAGGTTGTGCTGTGCCTCATGTAACTGCACTAAGACTGCAGACCAGAAGAGGAGTAAAACATAATCTGCATGTACCTGAAGATAAGCTTAGTTCTACAACTTCCAGGTGTGCACTGGGCATGCAAATGAAACCCTAATCACCTCAATTTAGGATCTGATTGGAAGCAGGCAACACAGAAGTGACAGCTTTAAAGCATAAAAGATTTTTTAATTTAGGAAACCAAAATGGGGAAAAACAACAAAAACCCTAAAAAATAACAAAAACCATCCAACCAAAAAAAAAAAAAAAATCTCTTGTTTGAGTTGAATAACAACTGTAGAAATCACACCCAAGCCACAGTTTCACCAAATTTGTGACACAGAAATGCACTTGCTCAACATCACAGTTCATTTACAATACTGATTAGCGTCAGGGGGATGTTTTACTATCTGCTGAGAACTGCACTGTTTGCCATCAGCCACTGACATGCCCTTTTAAACATGCTTTGTGCATGGCTGCATAAGATATAGGACAGAGCATCGCTTCTGGAAAGAATTAGATATGCAGATAGACTTAAATGGCCAGCTGGAGATTTACCTGCCTAAAGGGAAAGAAAACAGAGCCAGCTTTTGGGCTGTGATTTACCAGCCTCCACAGAGCACGGCTCCCCCACAGTTGTTCCCCTCAGTTATAATTCAGTTTGTCTTGTGGTCTGGAGGCAGGTCAAATTCTCAGGTGCAGCTTCAGATACAGGCAACAGAATGGTGTTGAATAACTTCCATCAGCTTTCTTAGTGCCTACTGGGGTGCAATCTTTCTTGCTTTTTGGCCCAATAGTAATAAAGGGGAAATGGCCCAGGTTCTCCCTTCCATTCATACGGGAAGGGACAGCTGTGGGGCTGGTGCCTGTACTGGGGAGGACCCTTCCTCTGCTCTGTAGGCCTGGTGAGGGGCTTCCTCACTGGGTTTTCTGAAGGAAAACCTTTGGCATTTACCATATCTCATGCTTAGAAAAGTGTGGGAGGCCAGTATTCATTTGAGCTTCCCCACAAAAGTATAATGCATGGAAATTTCAGCGGACTCCACAGACAGCAGAGCCTCAATACAGACTGTATGTGCTATTTTGCTAGCAAGCTTCAGGATTTGGGGGAAGACAGGTAGCACGCTGGAGGCAGGCAGAATGCGTGCAGTTGTGTGCACTGTTAAAGTCCACAAACAAAATCCCACAAAAACAAATTCCACAAAACAAAATCCTACAAACAAAATCCCACAAAATCTACCTTTTGTGGGAACCCAGAGCCAAGACCACAGGAGTGGCAGTCTCTTACAGCTGGTGTGCCCAGCTCAACTTCTTCACCCCATAACCAACCCCACACTGGTTAAAACTGGCAGAACTGCCTCTCCTATTCCTTACTGGAGGTGTGAAATTTTGCTTTCTTTCCTTTGTTTTTCCTCCTCTTCTGCTTTTGACCTTTGACATGGGTGATTTCTGTGTGCCTTTATTGTACTGGAAATTAAATGTGCACAATGAGGGAAATTGAACTGTCCTTCCCAAACAGCAGGTGGTGGTGCTGGGTTGCACAAATCACTTGAGAAACTGCTTACAGATGTTCCTTTCCTTGTTGAAAAACAGACTGGAAATGGATGCTAAATAAACTTTTCTCCTTCTTCAACCCCCCTCCCAACTCACTCCCCAGCACTGGAGGGTCACTTAATGTTTACCCCTTTTCAGTAGGTAGTTTAATGAATGTTTGAAAGTGTGTTTTAAAAGTAAATCTTGCTAAAATAAATACTCCAGCGTCTGAGATAAATATAGCCCACAGTATAACGTTATTAGTCCTCTAAAAATCTTGCATATTGTCTGTCAGTTTTGTGAAAACTGACAAGGACTCTTCATGTTTCTTAACTTCTGGAGTAGTTTAGTTCCGTTTTTATTTTATTTTTATTTCTATTTTTCCTGATTTTTCCTGATTTTTTTTTTCCTTAATTGCAGTTATCTCCAGCTCAGTTCTAACTGCATACTCTTCCCCTCTGGAGTTAGGAGCACTGGGAGCACTGTTCAGTGTCACTTATTTGTTGGTGAGTATTTCATGGCACTTACAATACTGATGTCAATGTGAAGCCTTTTGCTAATAGTGCAGTAATAAACCCAGTTCTAAATGTTTTGTTGTTGTTGTTGTTGTTTGTTTGTTTGTTTGTTTTCCTGTTATTTCTCACTGATTGGTGCCATTCTGTTTCTCACCAGCATCATTACCTCAAATTATCATTGCAACATTAACACTGTAACAAATTAACATCATAGCATTTTGAAGCCGTGCCTGGAATATCACAGTAACTCCCAAATCCTGCACGTCATTGGCTTTGTAGTTTTTTTTTGTTTGTTTGTTTTTTGTTTTTTTTGTTTTGTTTTGTTTTGGTTTTTTTTCCCTATATACTGTAGCATGACAGGCAGCTGCCCTACAACAACATATTTTTTTGGAAACCTACTTGAATAAAGTTTAGACTAGGTTTAATAATTAAGTTGTCCTGTCTCTGCCTCGTCCTGCCCCCAAGTCAAAGAAATAATGCTGTTGCCCCAGTTACAAAACGATTGTGCTTTAATAGTTTATTAAAGTAAACATGTGATTTTGTTTAGACCTTTTATATTTCCAAAATTCCCTCTTGTCTGGGCAAAAGATAGCTAGGAAAATGTGCATGTGCCAATGCTGGGCTTACACAAAACCTTTGATACATAAAATAACATATGCAGGGAAAGACCTCTACAGTGGTGTGTTGGCGCTGAGCTACAGGTATACAGTATGGCACAGGACTGAGGCAGAAAGGAAAACCAAATCCTGTTTTGTAAGATTTTGATGGACTTGCCCCATGTTGGACTGCAAATTCCTTCTGCTATGTCTCTGTTTAGAACAAGTCTGCAAATACAAAAATCCTATATTTTATATAGTTTTGGCTTACCTATACAAATTAATGCCATGAGCAAAGTAACCAGAGAAAGGCAGCTTTGTCAACAGCATAAGCTAATGGCAAGGTTCCCTGGGCTCGGTCATTCAAACAATTTCATTATTGCTCTGCCAAGAAGTTACAAAAACTGAGCAGAGGCTCCTGAGGTGTAGTGACGTGTATGAGAGTGTTACGGGCAGGAAGGAAGATCTTGGGACTCAGGCCCCACAGTGTCCCAGATGTGGCACAGATTTCTCTCACAGCCTACTTCATCTTTTGGGGCCATATGTTTGGCTGGTATAAATCAGCACAGCTCCACTAAAGTCAGCTCAGCTTCCCGGATTTTTTGCGGCTGAGGTTTCTGACCCTTGGCGGATCAGCTGCCCGGCTGTAAGGCAGAGATATTAACACTTCCCTATCCCATACAGTACAAAAGGATCAGCTCTAATTCATCACTCATGTAACACATTTTGAGAAGCTACAGGAATGCCCTCAGACAAGGCAGTTTGGCATCTCAAGCAGGTCTTAAAAAGATCTGCCATGGATGTCGCCTTTTTTTTTTGCTAACAAGGGTCTGATTATGAATTTATGTCCCAAAAAATCCCCAACCTCCAGAACTGGTCAATTACTGGTCATTCAAAAGGGAAGGCAATTGTAATTCGGCAGTCCTGCCTAAAATGAGTGCAGCTGAGCATGGACAGGAGGTGCAACTCAAGGTGGGCTGAAATGGGGGAGAATTTTAGCAAAAGGCAGCTGTCCTGCAAGGCTGCCTTGCTTCCCCACTTTATCCGTTTTATTTGGGTTGGGCTCCTCCAGTGTTTTATGCTGGCAAAGCCTGTTTCAATACTGAGTAATGCACGGAAACTCGATGTATTTTTTCAGCAGTTACTGAGCAATTAAAGGCTCAATTCTTTAAGGGATTGTAAGCCTGTGGGTGGTCTCATTGATTTCAAGACTACTTATGTGCTTCAAACTACGCATGTGCATGTGTATCTTGTTTAGCTGGGCCCTCCTAGAACTGCTGGTGAAATTTCCATTTTAGAACCACTTTACAGTCTCTAAAATTATTGCTGGAATGGCCTCCTCCTCTGGGCATCACACGCACCAGAAGTCTGCCTCTGCCTTCCAACTGATTTAATGCCACGGCGCTGAGGCATAGATTCATGGCAATGTTTTTACTAAATCTACACAAAACTGCACATTTCCCAGTACTTATCATTTAACTACTGCAGCTGTTCCAGACTATGAAAAGAAATATTGAGATTGACTTCCTTTAAAAATGCTTATTTGCTTATTTCACATTAAGCAGGACAAAGGCATGAAAATATGTATGCATTAAATAAAACAAATGACCTGACAAATCTTTTGCTTCCCTCAAAAAGTTAAATGTAGCTAAACAAAATTCCTATGTGGTAAGTATAGTACAGGGCTTTAAATCAGAGCACATGGAAGAGGCTGAGCTGTGAGCAAAGAAAACCTAGGTTACATATGTTCAGCTGGTAACGTGTGCTTTTATACTTTTCAGTGTCCTGCTGGGGTTCTAAGAAAATATTTACAAGATGCAAATAAAATGTAAATGGAATTATGTTTCCATGAAGAAAAATGAATGAACAACATCCATGCAGCTCACACAGTTTTACATACTGCACCAATGTTGCCTTATGATCCTTTAGGACCTTTTTCTGTACAGAAAGCCGATTACCTGAAATGTACTATTGCTTCTTCTTCTCTTTTTATTTTTTCCTTTTTCTTTTTTCTTCCTTTTTTTTTTTTTTTTAACAGACATTCTGTTCAAGATTATCTTGCCTTGCAACACATGCCTTTAGATTTTATCTCTTCATCATCTAAACAAACCCTGTTTTTGAGATGGCTTTCCATTTCCACAGGTGTTTCTTATCAGTTCCACATTTTCTTCTGACAACATGAAAAAAAAAATCATATGTTCCTGCTTAGTAGCTGCTGCCTGACCCAATGCTAAAAAGCTTTTCTGAATGCAGAAGTGTGTTGCGTGGCTGCTGTAATATCTCTATACCCCAAGGGTCTGCTGCTGCTCTCTTTTTTACAGCTACAAAAAGTCACATGCTTGGCCCTTAGCACAGAGGAAAATTTGATTCAGTCAGAGAAGATGTGAC